GCAGGAAAACGTTGTCCCAGCAAGAGCCGTCAGAGCTTGGCACAGGCTGCCCAGGGAGGGGGTTGAGTCCCCACCCCTGGAGGGGTTTCAAGGTCGTTGAGCTGTGGGGTTGGGGGAGATGGTTTAGGGGTGAGCTCTGTAGAGCAGGGTCAGTGGTTGGACTCGATGCTCCCACGGGGCTTTTCCGACCCAAGTGATTCTATGACTCTATTCTGTGGTGAGCTCTTGCTGATTGAAGTGAAACTTTGTCACTGAGCACTCCCGAGCATCCATATTCAAGGCTGACGTCCTTCTGGTGGGTCGGTGGGCAGCAGGATGAGAGCAGAGGTTGGATGGACACACAAACCCGTAACACAGAACAGCTCTTTGAGTCTCCTCGGTTTGGCTTGGGGCAGCTCGCTGGCTGCGCAGTCCTGCCATGGAGGGGGTGTTGAGGCCCTGATGCGCTCTTCTTAGTCCTCCTGCCCCCAGCTTAGGGCTCTGCTCTTTGAACTTCTACAGACAAACAGTTTTACAGACTCTTTTTAAGCTCAGTGTTGCTCTTTCCTCTGAAAACTCCAAAAATAACCCAAACCACAACCAACCAACCAAAAAAACCACAAAACAAAAATAACAAAGCAAAACATAAAACCCCCAAACCAACCGACAAACCCCTGGGCTCGTTTCCTTTCTAACAGCCCCATCTCCTGCAGCATCTCCTGGCAGGAATCTTTCCGTGCGCTGTGGGTAGGGTCACCTCTGAGAGATGTTCCCTGAAGGCATCCTGAATTCTTCGTTTGCGCAAATAGCCTGACACATAAGCCTTTTCTGGGGCTAATTAACCAAAAGGAGGCCAAAGCAGTAAAAGCAAGGTGGATTCATTGCAGTCATCTCTCATACTCTACGGCATCCACCAGTACAGAAACATTAAACCGTTGTGCTGCTCCCTGTGGTTCGGGGTGGGACCAGAAGCTCCTTCACATCCTCCTCTTGAGTGCAGCTCAGTCTCCTCCTCCTCTTCCCCTTTCCCCCGCGTCCGGGGGGCTTCTGACGAGGCCGGCAGGAGCGGTGGGAGGTGAAACATGGCCGCGCTCACCCTTCTGCTGTCCTCGCCTTGCAGATTTTGTGCCTTGGCAAAGCGTCGAGTCGAAGGGATCCCGGGCAGGAAAACCATCATGGTTCCTCCCTCGGAAGAGTACTCCACCCCCCTGCACCGCAAGGTGCCCGA